CGGCGGCGGCGTACACAGCAGCGGCGGCGGTGGCGACGCTGGCGGCGGCGGCGGCGGCGGTTGTGGTGGCGGCGGCGGCGGCGGAGGCGGCCGCGGCGAACACGGCCCGTGCTGTAGCTGCAAAGCCAGTGGCAGCCTTGACGGGACGCCAGGCAACCATCGACAAGGCTGTAGCCCGCCTTGCGGCTCCACGTGCGCCGCCTGCTGGGGGGGGTGCGAGAGCGCCGCCGGCTGCTCCGGGGCTCCTGCTGCTGCCGCTGTCCTGATCTCGCCCGCGGCGGCGACGCCGACGCCGACGGCGGTCGTCAGCTCTTCAGTCACCGCCGTCGCCGCGGGGCCATGGGGCTGCCGTATCGCCAGGAGGCCGAGCAGCTCCTCCGTGGGGTCGTCCTCCCCTTCCGAGGTTGCAGCTGCGGCGGCAGCGGCAGCGGTGGTGCCTGCCGCGGCGCTGCCGCCATGTCCTATGCTCGTGGCAGAAACCGGGCCTTCAATACACGTTGTTGCCGCTGTCGCCGCCGTCGCTGCCGCCGTCACCGTCGCCGTCGCCGTCGCCGCCACACGGGAGTGTGAGCTAAGGGTAAGCGCCAGCGCTGGAGGAAGATGTGCTAGGGGGGATTGGTGCTGCTGATGCGGTGGCGGCGCAGCGGCGGCCTTTCGGGTCGAAGTATGTCCTACTGCTGTCGTTGCCATAGCCGCCGCCGCCACTGTCACCGTCAACGTAACGGCTGCATCTCGTCCGCTTCTACACCCGACGGCAGAGCCTCCGCCGCTACCTCTGCCGCTACCTCCGCCGCTACCTCCGCCGCTACCTCCGCCGCTACCTCCGCCGCTACCTCCACCGCTACCACAGCTTGATGAACCGGCATGGTCCGCCGCCCCGGCGGCCATGGCATCACCGGCCACGGCAGGCGGTGCGGCCGCCTCCTTCTCCTGCTCTCCCTCCTCCGACTCCGCCCTCGTTACCAGCCATGTTTGCGTCTCCTCTAAAGACGCCAGCTCCTCCACCGCCGCCTCCTGCTCGTCTAACTCTCCTCCGCTTCCTTTCCTGACTTCCTGGTCTGCTTCTCCAAGCTCCTCCCCACCCTCCTCCTCCTCCTCCTCCTCTTCCTCCTCCTCTTCTCTCTCCTCCTCCCCTTCCTCTCCGTCCTCCTCCTCCTCCAC